TATATATATATATATATATATATATATGCACACATCTGGATTGTCTCTGAAATTGCTTTAGAATTAAAAGTCTGAGGTTCTCAGTTTTAAATAGTGACTTTTGATTGGGTTAGTTATAAGACATTGTTTATATATAAAATTGCATAGGTGTAAATCCTTAAATATTCACTCTAGCATCCTTATTCTTTTAATCTTTGAAAAAATGTATACTATACCTCTATGGATATATAGTATAATCTGTGCTTTCTAAAATACCTTAGTACTTCTACCACTGCAGAAGATATGTGGAACATTTATGCCTACCATAATTGTTTCTAAATATTTTGCCAAATCTTGTCATACAGTGTAACTATTTGAAAGATAACTGTCTGAACTGAGTCACTCAGGCATAACTATTCAGCAACAGTACCCTGTTCATCATGATCCACATATTGTCAGATTGTCTATCAAGTTCAACTCAATTCATCTATTCTTACAAAAAGTAATAATGCTACAACAGTACATAAAAGCTTCTTAAAGGATTATGGCAAATGGACAGTTGAGGAATATAAATGTGTACAAACTACATTTAAGCAAGGTAATTAAAAAGAGAAGAATTTCCAAGTACTACTTTCATTATTCATGTTCACCTTCATGATTAGTATTTCTCAAAACATAGATGTACACACCTTCACTCCTTATATTGGCTTTATGTATCATTTTCATTCCAATAACATGACTTTTTACAAGTAATATCTGAAGGATCATTGTTTAGAAATACATTGACTCGTGACAGTTTCACACATGATACTAACAAAAGTATCATTACAGTTACAAGAAGCTAAGAAAAAATGTAATTGTTATCGATGTTCAGGGGAAAAGTCAAATCAATTACCAATAAATGTTAAGACGGATTATTTTCCCCCACCACCCCATACATTATATCATTTGCCGGAGACGTCGGGTAAACATGCTAGTGTCACCATAAGCAATTGAATCAAATAGACCATTGGTCTGTTCAAAGATAACAAAGCCTTGTTACAATGTGAATGTTAAAAAAATTCACTTTTAAATCCATGTATAATGAAGACAATGCAAACATCTTATTATATTGAATACAATTATACTGGTTATTTTGATTAAGCTCTACTTCTGATATAAAACATGAGTACTTGCTTTAAAATACCATTCGTGTAAAAGATCAGAATTGGACCGTCATCTAATTATGTTGGGAGGTTAGGTGTTGTTTGTTTACCTGCGTGGTACAACTCCAGTTAGTAACCATTA